AAATTACCATCTCTATTACAAATACTTTAATAACTCAATCAAGCTCGTTCAACTTTTTTCAAGCTTCTCCTGTAACAATTCTCTTCTTCTTACAATTTCTTTGGTAACTCCATTCAGACGCTCAATTCCGTCCCAAAAAGAGCAAAATACAACCAAAGAAGAACGGACCAAAGCAGAAGAGTATCGCTTTCTTGATATCCATAATAGATTCCCCAAGCGTACGGCAGCCTTCGTTCGAAATGAAACGACGAAAGTTCAAAGCCCCTGGTTACAATTACTCGTACAATATACCCAGTCGAAAGAGAATTTAATTAATGTAATGCATTCGGATCGGAACGTGCGGCGCTATTACGTTAGCACCGCCGAACTGGCCAGATCCGTAATCGGACGAACGAGATGGATCTCCCCTGTAGGCTCGTGTGTAAGTCTGTAAATCCACGGATAGCCGCGCATCTATGCACGCAGACGCATCTTCAGTTCTCTCGGCAGTATCGTACGCCCTGGCCATCTCTGTGTAGCACCTTTATCCCGGATTAACTGCACGCCGTAGGGCTAGCTTTCGATACCATGCCTGACGGTGTGCCCGACGATGAGTACAGGGTGTTCCACCTAACGTAAACACCTGTAATATCTCACTTATTTTGGAAATAAAAAAAAATGTATGCATCACGTTCCCTTATTTTGTGAAAAATTAAGAAATCATTGTTGTACTAGTACTAGTTTATTAACGCGTTGTACCGTTGAGAATTTTCTAAAATTCGAAACCGTTTCCGAAAGAAATGGGAAATACCAATTTCGAAGATAATCCTTCGTTTTTTTTAAAAGAATCTTTTTTCTCGATTGTACCGAATTGTACTAGTTGTAACGAGCATTGTACCGTTGAGAATTTTCTAAAATTTGAAACCGTTTTAAAAAAAAAAAATGGGAAATACCAATTTCGGCGATAGCCCCCATTTTTTTCAAATCGTTTTTCTCGATTGTACTGAATTGTACTAGTTGTAACGAGCATTGTACCGTTGAGAATTTTCTAAAATCCTAACCGTTATCGAAAAAAATGGAAACACCAATTTCACAGGTACTAAATGTTAGAGGAAAGTATTATTTGGTTAGAAGGAGGAAATACTATCATAAGCAAACATTCTTCTCAAGGTGATATTTTACGAAATTCCACGTTCATTAATGTTTTTTCAAATGGGACTACATATTTCTATCATCGTGGTGTAACAGTTCAGTCAAGACCAATCCAATGACCTAGATAATATAACCTTCATACAACCTTGAATATGAAAAAATCCACAAATGTAAGGGAGAAGATTTAAATAATAATTGATGGACTTTGAGCATTTATTAAAATAAATTTTCTGCAAATCAGAAACAAGTGAGATATTTAAGGTGCGCACGTTAGATGGAACACCCTGTATGTGTGCGTGTGTGTTCCCGCTTCGAAGCAACGTTAAAAAAAAGAAGGACCGAGAAGAAAGGGAAA